TGATGTGATTTTTACCAGTCTCATATCAAAAAAAGCCCCAAATTGGAATAGTAGGAAGTTTCAAATGAGCTATGATTTGAATTGTATGAGAACAGCGCAGCATCGGCCCACACTCTTAAGCCAATGGTATTATTTGTACCCATTTCTGAATTTAATTTACAAGTAATTTAAATGTTTCACTGAATGTGTTCCACCTTAAAGAAACTTAGGCTTGGTTCTTAGTAAACTTGTTTATCTAGCAGTAGTTTAAGCGCTGATAATTTACTGCTTGTTGTCTGTCTGCAGGGAGGTGGTGGCAACTGCAGCTTCTCTGGGTATGTCTACATTGCAATTAAAAACCTGTGGCTGGCCCATGCTGTTGAATTGCAGTCTAGATGTTCAGGCTTGGGCTGGAGCCTGGACTCTGGGACCCTCAGTTAAACAGCCCCTTAGCCCGAGCCTCACAAGCCCAAGTCAGCTGGTATGGGCCCACTACATGTGTCTGAAACGTACTCTCTTTGCCTCTCCATTGAAGAGATCCAGGAGGGGAACGGTTCATGTGGTGGAGGGGGAAAAATCTCATTGGGTGGCTTTTGGGGAAACCTTATGACAAACTTACTACCGAGGAGTCTCTTGGTTGCATAAAGAGCTAGTGTAGCATCGTACAGAAACCATATATTTGTAGGTTATACTTTGGAGGAAAGATTTTCTACTTGTTTAACTCTGTTGCATGGTATGGAAAAGACATGTACCATATAAAACTCTCTAGCCCAATAGTGAAGTAATTTTACCATGAAAGGGTATTCATCCCAGTCATCTAGGGCACCTATTACTTTGCTGTCCAAGGGCTCCATCTTGCTCTTGTCAGTGGGAGCCAGATTGTGTCTTCGGTATTTGTGACCCCAAAGTACTGTGTAGGTGCATAGATGCCGCTATTTTTGTGCTGGGGAGCATGGAGTTCTGAAGATTAGGTTGTGAACACCTTTGATTCATGCTGTGTAAATTTCCCTGGATAGCTTAGTTGCACTCTAATAGTGCATTAAGAAACTTTGTATCATTAATACAGTGGAGTTGAGTCCTAATTAGAGTTTAATTTGATGTCAATTTAAATTAAGAGGGCTTGCGTAAACTGGTCCGTTGTGACCTGGATAGTGCTAATCTCAATCAGTAGTCTGAATAGACATGAAATCAAATTCTCACAGTACACCAGAAATGACAGGAACAACTGACATCTTAAATTAAAATTACTAAATTCCAAAAAATTGATGTGCCTGACCTCAGCTACAGGATAGGTCATTAAATCACATCCATGGAAACTGAGCTGAGAAGCATACTTTAATGATTTAGGAGAGGGATGAAAATGCCTTGAGCACATTGGATAGGTGGAAACTAGCCAACAAATTTTTAGTTGAGAATTTGTGTATGTATTAATGAAATAAAATTGAAGAAATAGGCCAAAACCCCTGAGATCTGTCATTTCAAGTTTAACAACTAAATGTGTATTCCTTTATGGTCACTTTTCATGACATTATCATCCTCCATTAGCGTTCAGCAATATATTAGACATTCTGTATTTACCTTTCTTGGCAGCATTGTTCTTCCTTTAAGGGGTGTGTGTGTGTGTGAATATATGCATATATATTTTGTTGTCATATCACAGATTTAGGTATAATGGGTCAGATCCTAAGTATCAGTAAATGACTGGGTCCAGTATGATCATTTACCGTTTCTTTTGCTATATGATTATAAAGCAAGTGGAGAAAACTAATGACTGATGTCAAATCTTCTAGTAGTATCTGAAATGTGTCTATATACCATTACACTTACATGTGTGTACAATAAAGTCTAAAAATATTTTAAACTAAAACATTTTCTAACATCATCTGACATCTCTAAAGTAGCTTAATTTTCTTCCTGATGTGGACAATACAAATGACTAAAGCAGTACAAAAATTCAGTTTGGCAGGAAAAATATAGAAACTTGGGTCTTGGGAGATTAAAATGTTCTCAATTTACCTTGAAATGTAGTATTCATTCCATTTTAATGAATACTTTAGTACTTTATCTTCTGGAAAGATGACCAGCTTGACTGCAGAGGTCTTCATTAGAGATGTTATGATTTGATAACTAAAATTAGAGATGGAAGATTGGGCAAGTTGGTAGAAACTATAGTAATATATGGAGATATACCTATCTCATAGAGCTGGAAGGGAGCCTGAAAGGTTATCAAGTCCAGTCCCCTGCCTTCACTAGCAGGACCAAGTC